TCGGGATCCCTGCCCTGGCCCAAAGGCTTGTCGAGATACAGGCGAGACTCATCATCAAGTTTGTGCCTGAAATCAAACGGAATGTCAACAACAGGCTGTCTTCCGAGATGGATGAGCTGAGCAAGCTTCCGGACACCATTACGTCGGTTGTTGAGGCCTCAGCGTTGTTTGGTCGGATTCTGGGCAAGGCCCAAGAATTCCTTAATAAGATTTTGCTGACGGAAGAGATAGACAAGAATGAAATGCATAGCATGTCCCGGCTGACTAAGATAATCTACGGTTACTCTCATGACATGCAGGGCAAAGGCTCCCAGAACGAAGCCAAGAATATGTTCCTGCTAGAAGAGATTATTCTGTTGGAGGAGATGAAAGGGATTGAGCTTCCAGATTTTCTGCCGAGGGCAGCTTTTCGCATCCTTCTTGAGAAGAAGGTGAAGGGGCTGTCTTTCACCACTCTTGAGTTCATTCACAATATGTGGGCCTACATAGAAGACGAGGTGATCTCTGTTCTCACAAAGCACTTTGTTAACTACCCACAGCTGCTTCCATCCATGATGTGGGCTGTCCAGAACTTGGTGGCCATGGAGAGGAAGCAGTCAGAGGTTTGGGTTCTTGATGTGGTCGAGATGGAGAGGAAGACGGACTATACATGCAGCCCCGATTATCTGGCTTTGTGGAAGAAGCTCATGGCCCACCACAAGGTGTTTGTGGAAATTCTGGAAGACGAATCAAAAACGGCAAATATGGCCATTGATGGGTACGGGAATGTTGATGTCTCGCACCTGAGGAGCTGGACAGGGACGGCGGTCGTGCACGAGGCATTCGACCTTAAGATGAGATTGATGAGCTACTGGAAGATTGTGCTTCAAAGATTTGTTGACTGCGTCGCCCTGCATTTGTTGTTTTGCATAAGGAATCTGGTGAACAAGGACTTGGAAGTGGAGATCACGAAGGTGGTGCTCGGTCCTGAAGTGAAGGGGCCTGAGAGGATGCTAGAGGAGTTGCCGGCGGTGGCTGAGAAACGCAAGAAGCTAAAGCATAGTATTGCGCTGCTCGAGGAATCCAAGGATGCGTTGGCCCAGATCGATAATGACATTGCTGGTATTAGAATGGGACAGGTGGTTTGAATTTCATTTTGTGGCGTTTTCTGGATTAGCTTGCTTTTGGTTGCTTTTTTTTAAATTTTAGCTTTCAGTATTTCATCCTTCTTTGTCCTGTAGTTAGTTCTTTGACGATCCAATGCAAACATTTGGAAGAATCTTGAAGATTATTTGCCTGCATGAATTCTGTATTTCCTAGTACAAATGTCCTGTTATCGACATTTATGAATGCTACTTTTGTCTTGGGGGGAGGATGACTGAAAGGCACGATAGATCGTTAGGTTCAGTTGTATATGTAAATGAGTATAATTTACAAGATAATATATATATAAATATTGATCTGATAAGAAATTGTTGGAGGGATCTGCATTAGGTTTGTCTAATAGATTGACTTCACCGTATCATATGGTTCGCCATGGGTCGATTACCGAAACAAAAAATTTACTTAAGACTATGTTGCTCTTCATTTGCATTACTGTCCTTTACTTCCTGTTGTTGCTGATTGATGGAAAGTAAATGTATAACTGCTTATGATGATGAAATACAATGAAAGGGTTTTAAAGGATAGACTGCTCTCATGGATAATTATCAGTCTTAAGATAGTGATTCTGGACAGCATATTATCTTTACTTTTATTATCTTTACTTGTACCATTGTCCTAAGTCTTTTCTCTTTGCTCACTCATTTCTTGCAAATCACTAAATTCATTATATTTCACCCACATGTGATAAAGGCAGGTTCGAGGAGTTGGTCGATGATAAAGGATTCTTAGGAACCAAGATGGACTTTGTTGATGACAAACTGAGGTGTGATCCTGTTCTCCACTTCCTATTGCATATTTCTCGGCATTGAACTTTGAAGTGAACTTTTTACCTCTGTTCGATTACTTTGCAGTTTGCACTTGTATTACATATTTTGTGTATTAGGATTGGTGGTGTACTCTGTACTTAAATTGTGGAGGCTGTAGAAAAAAAACTATTCAAATTGGTTGTTTAATTCTCTGGTGATGAGAAGAAACTAACAGGAAAAATAAGTTGATGAATTTATTCTCTACCTTATGACCTAGATCCTTAGTGTGTCTAGTGAACATGGTTTGGGAAGAAACATGTGGAGATTTAAACATATAACTTAGATCTTCTAGATGTGGAGTTCTATAAAGATAACTTGTATCTTCTAATATCCTTTCAAACATAAAATCTTGTGATCTCTTTGCTTTTATGTACCCAAAACAGAGTTTTGAAACCGGAAGTCAAATTCCATGCAATGCAATACTGTGGAATAATTCTACGTTTTTGTAAATTGAATGTAACTGCTAACCTTTTGTATTTTTAAATAAGAACACATGGTACTTTCTTTCCTCATCTAGCATACTTGGGCTGATTTTTTTTTTTTTTTCCTGAATACATTTTCAGTCACCTACTATAGTATTAGAAATCGTTTCTATTGTTGCCTTAATGATGGCAGACGGATTACCATAGAGATATTTGGCATAGTTCTGGTGACTGGTTTCTTTTGGTTAGCTAGACTTACTAATAAGTCCATAACACCCCTTGTGAGTGGTGTATTCACACATACATAATCCAACGGCCCTTTTTAACCCGGATCTGTCTTATTTTGGGGTGCTAGCAATAGGGTATTCAGCTCTCTAATGGTTGCATGTTTGAGTTTATTTTAGCTCGACATTTAGTTTTGATGGGTTTGTTTGAACTACTAATCAAATTTCTAATTCATGTGAATTTTCTGATATGATATTTCAGATGGAACTAGGATCACGCTTTATGCTTTTGAAGGATATCCACACCAGAGCTTCTAAATTTAGCACCAATGGGATTTGTTTTCCAAATTTTGCCGGAGTTACATAGTAGTGTTAGGTCTTCCTTACTGAACTCAAAAGTTAAAATGTACTGCTGCTGTAAGAGTGCTGCTGTAAGAGTGTACGGCTTGTGGCGCTTTGACGTTTGTTGTTATCATCAAATAAGGTTCTTTGAATTTTATCAGCTCTTGTTGAACCCCTGTATAATCTTTATTTCAATTTGTGCTCTAAGTAGGTGTACAGATTCAGCAGCGGTTTTAAATTTCATAAGATCATCTGATTCATGCTTTAAAATGCTGAAAACTAAGCATTAAATAAACGTGGAAAGCAAAAATGAGATGTACTCTTGTGACCGCAAAATCACGTTAAAGGTGTTTGATGATTAGATTAAACTTGGCTGACTGTCTGATTAGTACACTACATCCATATATCGATGAGTAGGCAAACACATTAAACATGGCTCAGTGGTATGTGTCGAACATAAAGGTCAAAACACATCACGCGCACATTCGAACACAGGTGGACAAACTAGAGTATATCCATGTAAACAGTTCATGGAAGGCCATTTTCCTGATGCATTAGGAAAGATTAGTGAAGCGGGCCTGGAATTAGCTGGCTTGGATATTTAGAGCATTCATACGATTGGAAGGCCATTTTTTTTTTTTTNNNTTTTTTTTTTTTTTTTTTTTTGTGTTACTGAACACCGTCCCTCCCCTACTACCTACTGTCTTCTTGGACAATTTTGCCCCTGACATTTTCCAAAAAACTCAAAAAATCATAAATTCTCTGAAACCAGGCGATTCGGGAGAAAAATTGACCGACGACGAGGTATGATTTTCGCCGGCCGGCCATGACCATTAGGGGGCGCAATATACAGCCGGCCATGACCATGCTCGTCCGGACTCGCCGTTCGCCCACCACTGCGCACGGCCGCAATCGCCAGTCACGACCCGACCGCAATGAAACTCATAAACCACTCTCACCCTTAAGTATCACATACCCTGTCCAATCTCAAAATATGTCTCAACATCAACTCTCACCACAAACTCAATCTTCATCTCCTATTCACAATATTCCCCCACCAGACAATGACAATCACTCGCAAATAAATTCGGGTAATCCTTAATAAATTTGATTCACAACATACGAAAATTTAATGTATGTCTTTCTTTTCGAATCAAAATTTTATTTCGAGCAATCTTTCTTAAGGTGGCCTTGCTTTTTACAAAATAAAAAATAAAAAATAAAAATAAAAATAACACCTTATTTATTTAGTGATTGGACCTACAAAAACTTTAAGTAAGCGAATCTCCTTTTATTTCCATTTGTTTCCCATTTTATCTTACTATTATGGGCTCTCACATGACATATAAAGTGAAGACTCTTCTTTTATTTCATTTATTCCCGTCTTTTCCTGCACCAGCATAGTCTTAATTTCATTACAGTCTCATTTACTTAATGTTGTTATAGTTCACCTAGGATTGGCCAAACTCGACAGGTAGGAAGTTCATGATGAATGGAACCATAAATGAGTCTATCACATTTCATTCTCATATTTGTAAGTTTAACTAATATGTTGAACATGTTAGACACGATACCAAGGATGAAACGGAATTAGTTGAACTTTTATAGTGGTGAGTTCGATCATGAAACTTTCCACAATAGAATTTTTCCACAATTTTAAATGGAGATAATTCCTTGAATTTTATTTAGGAATTCTACTGCATTATCAGCTTTTAATGTTATCCAACATGATTAACTTCATAATATTCAAACACAACCTATTTGATTGCCCACTTGCCCTACAAAGAATTACCTCAACTTCAGAGTTCTCATCAGTAATGGTTGTGGGAGCTTCATCAGTAATTAGAGTCATATTCAAATTCATTGGACCTAACTGAAAATGGATATGCTTAGACCATTCATTAAAGTTCAGCCAATTGAATTTTTTCAACTATAATATTGTACGGATAACCAAATTTTGAATGCTGCAAACTTTGATACATATTTAGTTAAGTTTTGAGAGACAATTAATGGATTCAGAAATCTTTTACATTATACACTTAAATATACATTTGGGCAATACTTAAATATATAATATATTTGATTGATGCCTAAGAGGAAAGATCTTTAATAGAAATTATAGATATTAGAAAGATATTTAATAGAAATTATAGATATTGTGATTAATTAGCATCTATCTTTGGACAAACACGCTAATGAACCCAACTTTAATTAAAATTTCTCTTTTATATATTAATCATTGATAGAAATTATACAAACTTGAGTTAACTAGCGGCTATCCTTCGTGATACTGATCAGGTCTTGCACGTGAAGCTCACCGCCGCCCATCTTCCGGAGCCGATCTTCCACACCTTGGTCTACGCCAGCTGTGCAAGGGTTGGCCGTTATGACCTCTGGGACACCATGCGTGAGATTGCTGAGAGTATGGAGGGATTCCCGTGGATGGTTAGCGGTGATTTCAACATATTTTTGCATCCCGATGAACGCATTGGTGGAGTATCGGAACGCTCTGCGGAGATCTTAGATTTTTCGCATGCTATATCGGATTGTGAGCTAATCGACGCTGGATACGAAGGGGCTCCCTTTACGTGGGAGAGGGTCGGAGTCAAGGAGAGGCTCGACCGCGCTTTATATTCAGAGGCGTGGACGAGGGTGTTTGCGACCACGGTTGTAACACACCTTCCTCGATTTGGATCCGACCATGCTCCCCTGCTGATCCGGTGTCGGTTCTCCATATCCCCTCAACGAGCGTCCTTTCGTTTCCAAAACATGTGGGTCCGCCACCATTCTTACTACGATACTGTTAGAGCTTCCTGGCAGCAGGCCACGCACCTATATGGGATGCGTAATCTGGAGGAGAAGCTTAGGAGACTCCGCCGCGTTTTGAAGCGGTGGAACTGGACGACTTTTGGTGACATTACTCAGCGCCTTACTGCAACTCAGACTGCGTATGCGGAGGCTGAACGGACCTATGACCTGGACTCTACCCCAGAGAATATAGGGCAATACATAAATAATGTGAAAGTTACTTACCATAAATTTTTTACAAAAATTAATGCAAATATG